ATAATAATAATAATAATAATAATAAAAATAATATGTCCTTTTCAGGTTCATATCCAAAACTCCACCCTGGCAGGGGGCGTGGCTGTAGGGGCGTCTGCCAACATGCCCATGAAACCTTTCGGCTCCATGATCTTCGGCGCTGTGGCGGGCCTGATAAGTGTCCTGGGCTACAAGTTTCTGTCTGTAAGTAGTTTTTAAAATATAACTATATTGTGTTTTCATCGTGGTAGAAATCAGGCGCTCGTCATAATAATAAAATCCAGGAAACTCCGTGGCAAACTTTTCCCGCAAGTTGGGCAGTTTTCATTGATTTTTCATGATCGCTCTCAAAATCCTTTATGTCCATTCAAAAACACATTTCTAGTAGAATTTTACTGAAACACGTTGATCAGAGGCACCAAAAAATGTACATTTCTTGTTTTTAGGGACAGTCAAACTTTGGAAGTCACCAAACTTTGGCGGCCATTTTCTCTCTAATTTTACCTCGGTTTACCCGACTCTCCTTTCTTCAACCATAAAAATCTCGGCTTCTATTCAAGATAGATTGGCTACTTTCTAACTCAAAAACATGACAAATGAACTAGCTTTAAGTTAACACCAGTAACTCCATATTATGCCTAAAAATTGATGAGCGCCTGATTTCGCCACGAGCGCCTGACACTTATAGTAATGTTGTCAAAGAAAAAGCTCGTTCCCCTTGCCTAACTTAATTCCATGATTAAAAATATGCATTGTTTGACCCATTAGAAAAGGTATATGTATAACCTATACTTTTATTATAATTGAAACGTTGTTTAACTACTGACTCAACGTGATCTTAAGATGTTTTTGATATACATAATAAAATATCTTCTTTCACCTCCGCCTCCTTCTCGTCCTCTTTGTCTACCCCACCCCACCTTCTCCTTCCCCCAATCTCCTCCTCCTCCTCCTCCCCTCCTCCGCCGCCTCCTCCTCCTCCATCTTCTTCTTCTTCTTCTTCTTCTTCTTCTTCTTCTTCTTCTTCTTCTTCTTC